CTTTTCCAAGGTCGGAATCTCGGGAATGGCAAAGCCTCCCAGTAATGCGAAGGCTGGATCCTTGACTCACTGCCAGGAATGTTCTAGCTGGAGCTACTCTCAGGGTCCCTGAGTCCTCCTAGCTGCCCTCTCTTCAGATCCGTTGATGCCGGGACATTAGTGGACCCAGGGTCTTCCAGTGAGCTTTGTAGGAGGATGATGAGTGAGGAAATATTGATGACCCCGGAAACTGAAGACTTGAATCTCTGCTATCAAGATCCCAGGCTTCCAAACCTTCCAGGGGAGCAGTACCAGGAAGCCTCCCTGTTCTCAGCCGCTAGGGTGTTAGGCTGACTCACAGCTCCAAACGCTGCCGCATGGAGAAGAGCAAGTTCAAGGTGCCTGCAAAAGCTGGAGGACCGCCCGGAGAGCCCGACTCAGAGGAGTGGGGGCGTGCCTGGCTTCACTGTACCCAAGGGGGAGGCCTCTGTGACAGCGGTTCATCAGGAGGCTGGAGGATCCCTGCCTCCTCAGTGGTCCCTCCAGACCAGACCTCTGGAGCTGGATTTCTGCGGGTCATGTCTTAGAGAATGCACTTTCCTTTTCCAGAGTGGCTCCCAAGCTAAAGTTTATGTTATTTTCACTAAATCTTGTTTTTATTATTCAAAGTGTACTGAAATAGAGATATTGAAAGGCGCCTATAGCTACCCAAAGCCAAACTTCTCCTTGCTGCTTAATTTAGATAAGCAATAAAGTTATCAGAGCTGTAGAAATAACACAGAGGAATTCCTGGCTTCTCACTTTAAGGGTAGATTGAGCTCCGTTATGATTCTATTTGAGCTATTGCAAAATTCAAACAAATACTAGGATGTTTGCTAAGACATATAAATATGACATACAGATGACTCTGGTCTGCAGCTCCAGGCTATAAGTTCAATGTGCTTGCTGAGTATTTTAGACTATTTCAATGCCATGGGTGTGTTCCCTCCAGCAGTAACAAAACTTGATGTCTGGTATGTAGACATCTGGTATCCAATACTCAGCTAAAAAATGTACTCTTTCCTGGTGTATTGGCCAACGAGCTTTGCTGAGCCAACCAGTCCTGCCACAGCGGAGCACTGGAGGCGCTTCCTCTGAGTGGCCCTAGCTGTCCCCTGTGTCTCCTGTTCCCCAACTGCTCACTAGGTGAAATGTGCAGACCAGGAATTTCCCTTCCTGCACTTCATGCTAAGAAGTCATCGATATGTTGTCAGGAACTCCAAGTTGATGGCCCAATCTCACTGTCCGAATAAAAAGGCTCCCAATTGGGTTTTCCTAACTTCATTTTGCAACTCACAGCTCCAACAGGAACCCAGGGCATTTCCGTAACACACGCAGGATCAAAGTTTGAGGTTAAATGTTTCCGGAGCTCCGGAGGCCTGAGGGCACAGAGAATTCTGACGTCGCCCTTCCTCTGGGCTAGGGTGGGGATCCTACACAAGTGAAAGGGAGCTGAGGCAATGACTTAGAGTGGGCGATGATTAAACAAGGTAACAAGACATTGGGCAGATGTGTTTTCATTGCACTGTAAGATAAACGCTGTGTTAAGTGCCTGACAACTTCCCAGCAGCAATCAGCAAAAGTTTACGAGTGCATAAACCTCGAAGACCATTCCCCAACGGTGGTTATAAGGCCCGCGTTTAGAGTATCTATAAATTCTCCGTTTGCCACAGCAAACTTTCCAGAGACTATTAAGCAGCCACCTCCTCCGGAAAGCCTGTGGGTGACTTTCCGGAATCGCAAGTGAAAGAGGTTTGGGGCTGCTACATAGGGAAGCAAAAGTTTGTTGCAGAGCTTTTGGGTCTGGCCATAGGAGGTGGAACCTAGGAGATATTGCCCTATCGAATACCTGAAGGAAAATCCACCCCGAGGTTTTGCAAGAGGCTTGGTTCTCCTTAGGCAAGGCTGGCGGCTTTGCTACAGTCGGCATCGCCCTGCTTTGTATTACCCTGGCCTGGCAGGGATGGGTTAGAGCTCAAGCCAGGCCAGAACAGGGTAGACACTATGCCCTTCAAACGCCCTCTCCAGAACCTCCAGGAATCCAGATGTCCTGAGGAAAGTTCCAGTGTACAAGAAAAGCAGATTTGAGAACTAAATCAGACACCAGGGGAACCGTTTAGTCACTCCGCCCAGAGCCAACCGGAAGCTAGCCGCCACCCTTGTGTTAATAATTGGAGGATTTTGATAGGTTCTTTTCATCAGGCAAACAGGATCCACCTATGTTTACAGAGACCCTTCCTTTATGATCCCAGTTAAAACAAAGCTGTTAATTGAAAAACAATAACACTAGCGTGTCTTTAGCTTCCTAAAGGGACAGGTTAACAGCTGCTAGCTCCAGGGGAGGGCAAAGGGTGGGGGGAGCTGCTAGTGAGGGCCACCCTGCGCCAAGACGGCTTTGGATCCTCAGGGAGACAAGTGGGCAGGCTCCAGCCTTCTGATACCCACTAGGGTCCCAGGCAATAGACCCCAGCCACAGCTTGCTCTCTTCATGGGTTCCAGTGTATGTGAACAGTACCAGTAATGGATGAGTGGGTAGTTTCTCTCTCCCTGAGAGGTTGCAGCTCAAACAATTATTTTGGAAGGATAGAACCAGGCCCCTTTGCATCCCTTCCAGGTGATAATGCAGATATTTGAGTGTCTTCCTCACCCTTCCTTTATGAAATAAGGCGCCCAACTGTTCTGATATTACCATTCAAAAACAGGTTCTGTGGTGAACCTCATTTGTGAATCTATTACAGAGATTAATAGATTATTTCTCCTTTTTCAACTAATTCTCAGTGGGGAAATTTAACCATATGGTAAGGAGAGAATTAGAATTTCATCACATTAGAGCAAAATGTAATGAAAAGAGTCCAACACCTGGGGCCAACTCTGAAAGCCACAATTAAAAGGTTTTTAATGAAACCAGAGAAACCCCAAACTGCACAGCTTTCAGTAATTTTGCCACACAAGAGAGAATTATTTGAGGTGTTGGGAAATACTGTTTTTACTTATGTCATAAGGATGAAAACTAGGTGCTAAATACCATGTGCTCCGAGAGACTTAAGTCAGAATCAAGAGGACCGCGTGTATCATTTCCTATCTGGAGAGAAGAGTACTTGTTTTCACAGTTCTGCCCAGAACTAACCCATCAGAAACAGCCCAGACTGATCCAGATGTCCCCAAACGCCTTCCAAGCTGCGGCGGTTAAGTCCTCGACTACGTAGATAGGTACGAATATCCTCACTTGGTGTGCGAAAGGATTCCACTCTGAAGCATTTGGGTTTAAATCTTGAGGAAAGTTTGAAAACTAGTTTCTCTGATCCTGAAGTTCTCAGCTTCACAGTCGCCATCACTGTAGCAGTTTGGGAGACTGCTGCAACCCCCCGTCCCCCCCGCCCGGCCCCCTAGATTTTTAAACTGAAATGCGCTGCATGAGAAACTTGATCATCATTTTACTGTCTTATTTTTTATTTTTCTCATCTGTGGAGAAAACCGGCAGTGGATGGGTGTAGGGGAGAGGCGGGGTGGGGAGGAAGTCCGGGCTCTCCTGCTCTGCTCTCTTAGTAGCTGAAAATCTAGAGTGATTTTGGGCAAGCCAGCTAGGCACCTCCTTACCCCCAAAGTCCCATCTCCCAACGCAGACATCCCATGAACAGGGTGGGGTGTAATTCTCTCCTCTAAAGATAATTCAGCGGAAGCCTAGACAGCAATGGTGAGGGAAAGGAGGGGGTGGGTGGGGGCGTCTGCTCTCCACTGGACTCCCAGCCTTCACCGCCCATCTACAATTTGCTGAAGGAGCAAAGAACATCCTCTGCTTTAAGTAGGGCTTTTAGTGTGCTCATTGATGAGTGAAAGTCGCCACACATGTCAAGCTAAAGGCAGTTGTTGGGTTACTAACAGGACCCAGCGCCTTGCAAACATATGCGCTAAGCTGTGTATACAGATGGCAGGCAGAATAATGGAGCAGGCGCCTTTTATAAAGCTCTGGCTTCTGCCTGTCTTCAGACCTGGGAAATGAAACTATTCAGACTCGCGGCCAGATAGCGCCTGCGATTGTTTGTTACCGTTTTAATCCTATTAATTAAAACGTTAACCTGATTGGGTAGAAAGCGCTGTCCCAACAGGCGAGTCTTCTTCATAATAACCTACTCAGAGATAATGATGTAAAAGACTCCCCCGTCTGTGGCGGCGGCTGGTTGATGGGTCCGGAAATCTCTTGAAGGTGAATCCAAGCAAGATAAACGGTGCGGAGAGGCGGCGCGGGGCTGGGCTCCGAGCGGCGGCGGCGGCTCCACTCCCTCCGCGCCCACCCTCCCACCATGCGGGGCCGCGGCCCATGGTGAGCCCCAGCAGCCAGCACCATCGGCTGGAAACGAAGAAGAAGAAGAAGAGGAGGCGGCGAGCGCGGGGGAAGGCGAAAAAGAAAAAGAAAGAAGCGGACAGGGCTGCGGGCAGCGCGGGGAGCGACGCGCGCAGCAGCTCCGGAGCCCGGCTCGCGCGCGTCTCAGCGGCCGCCTGACTCCCGAGTCCCGGCGGCAGCGGCGGCGCCAGCGGGCGCGGACTGCGGCGGGGCGGGGGGGGGGGGGGGGGGGGGGGGGGGGGGGGGGGCGAGGGCCGCACTCCCCCGCCGGGCGCTCCGGCTGGATGGGCCGCCACCTCAGGACCCGCTGGCCCAGCACCACGTCGCAGCTGTCCCTCCCGATCTGGAAGATGCCCCGGAGCAGAACACGCTCTGCCGCCACCTCTGTTCCCAGCGGAAACCCGACCGCCGCGCTGGGCCCAGCGGCCACCTGCCGGGACGCCTCTTCCTCCCCGACGCCCAGGACGCCCACCCGGCTCCCGCGTCTCCCCCGGGACATGACGGGCAC